ATGAAAATGAGTACCAATAAAAAGAGACATTTTAATGAATAATCTTTTTGAGAAAAGGTCACTAATATAATGGCACTTCATGTGGCACTTAGGTATTTCTAGTGTCTGGATACTGTTATAAGGGAACGTAAGTTGCTACCTGAATCTCACAAGTGAGTTTGAGCTCTCAAGTCTCTACTGGCCCATTTAGTATATTGGTATTAGCATATAGTTCCCCAACTAGCACGAATAGCGGAGTGGTAAGTGTTTTGCCGAGAGCGGGAGGTTGTCGGCTCCCGTCAGCGCATACAATTTGGTTTAAACTTCTATAAAAGTACCCATCCCGATCTCTCATATTCTTGAGAAACCTGAACTTTATAGGAACAGACAAATACAGTCTTGTTCGCTGCAAACGATGGGGCGTTCCAGGAGGCTGGGTTGGGCACGGGGCCAGCGTGTTCTCCACCGATCGTGGTCGCCTTCCGGCTTCCATAACTGGTGGAGAACAGGCTGGCACCCCGCCAAACCCAGCCCCCTTCCTGGAACAGCTCATCGTCCGCAGCGAACAAGGCTGCACTTAATTAGGTAGGTCAAGAAAGAATCGCCTTGATGATGAGTGGTCATCAACCATGCCCTTTTTCGGTACCCATACTTGTCGCTGAATCCATTACAGGCCGTAAGGTAGCAACATTTCTGGTGGAGCCATGCCAATCACCTAACGTCTGGAAGTTTTCTTTTGGGGGTCCCATGAAAATCGCTAATAAACGGATGAGAAGTTCCGCAGTTATGCTACGGAAGCACTGCATTACCCTCTGAAACCATTTCAGGGTTTGGGTCAAAACCTCAATTTTGCTAGAAATTTGTCCCTAGGGATTGCTTATCCCATCTTACATTTGCTTGGCTAGAAAACAACCGGCGTCCGTCGAATGTCCCAGAAGACAATTTTTTTCAAGCTTGACTACATGGAGCGCTCGCGTCTTGCTCTTCAGGTAGCACTTTTTAATTCCCATACTCGTAACCAACGTTCCAAACTCCGTCGACATATATAGGTCCCCATCTAAAGTTCCATGGTAACACTTGATGACTTCTCCCTTCTTAGTAACCTCGTAAAGTGGGGAAAACCAATAAAAATTACTACCCGCTATGCCGGGATTGCAAAATGGAGGAAGCTCAGAAGATGGTCCGACAGATTGAGTACATCGTGGTTCCGTGAAATAAATGACGGGCAACGGCAATTCAATACACTTTTTGGACAGTCCTTCCTTCCAATAGACTGTTACCAGAATAGCAATCTGCTCTGTTGTCCTGGGAATAAAATTAACAACGAGGTAGAAAGAGGGAGTCGCTGCGGCGGTATGCCGAAAAAAAACTCTCGTTTAGAAAGAACTAGAAATTCAAATCCTTTGCAGAAAAATTTTGCCCGACTTAATTTCGCCATATATCCTCTTACAGTCTACGTCATCATCTGGTGATCGGAGGTTATTAGGCAGTTGCGCACGATAAGTCCCTAAGGGACGAGTAAGGATCTGATTACGCCGTCGGCAGTGAACGGAGCTTCCGCACCGTGAGCAGCGCTTGGCGTTCAGCGCTTTCCCCTAGGCGGGGTACCGCTTATAAGGCCCTGTCAAGCCTACAAAAACTGCACGGCGGGACGCCCACCAACAGCACCCTGCCCACAAATGGACGACCGTGCACTGATTATTGGTATCACTTCGTTGGCCGAAGTGCGGTATTGAAAGAAGGGATTGACTAAAGCGACCGCGCGTAGCTGCTTGGTGTAATGGCCGGTACATTACGTGCAGCCGTACCCGCGCGTAAGGATTACGGCACGATGAGCCATGGGGATCTCGTTCCGAACTGGCGTTCTGGAGTTAGGCTGTAGAACCAAGGTTTTTTTTTAAAGGTTTTTCTGAACGCGTTTTAGTAAAAAATCGTTCGCTTTCACTCGCCGTTTTTCCCACTCTATGGCAGCCTGCTACCATTTTTGAGAGGCCCCGTCCAATTCAATTGAGCCATAGTTTCTTAAGAGTGTTTTTTTGAAGCCTATATGGGTGATAAATCGATAGGGCGTACAGCCGTTCGATCAGGCCTTAGCGAGTGAAGAATACCTATGACCGATTACGCAGGCGCTGTGTGGCCTTCCTTTTTGCCAACCAAGCGATTACCATTGATAGCGCCTAAGCAAAGTGCAACATGCCGCCCAGACGCCCCCGTAACTACCCGCCCACAAAGAGCAGCAGTTACATCGACGCTGGTACTCTTATCGCTTCACTTATGAAGTACAGTTGATATGGAAGCGTTACTTCCACGGATATATGCATACACACGTTCTGCCATAGGGTCTATTAATAGGCGTTTATTGGCGCCGATTGCCAAACGGGAAACTCGTCCGAAAAAATGCTGTCCTATGCGTGCTAGAAAAAGGTCTTCTTGAAAGCTCTAAACCTTTTGCTTTTTCCGTCTTTTCTTACCTTATTTAACCTCAATTTTCTTCATTTTTGAGCGAGCATCAAGAGCACAGACCCTATGCCTTCATTCGCTTTAGAATGTGGGTTCCTGGATAAAAAACACGATCGCATGAACTTTATCAATTTCGATGAACTAAAAAACCTCGTATCCCCGATCGAATTATAGCCTCCATTTGTTCCGTGGGGTATACTGATAATTTGTCTTTACGTCGTGACTAGCAGGAGGTTCTGGCACTGCACTCTGCTTCTTCAGCTAATAGACTCTAGGGCCACAGCGCGAGGGGGGGGGGAGCATTTTGCACTTGTTTGTCCCGCGTCGAGGTGTAAACCCATCTAGAAAGGGCCTGTCGCGAGTGACAGAGTTCCACCATGTTTCCTTGACGAGCTTGCTTTCCAGCTTCACAAGGGTTCACAGGTTTCACCAGAGTGAGACTTGTAAACCGGAACTAGTGAAGCAACGAAAGTGCAAAATGCCCCCCCCGTCGCCGATCTGTGCTTACTGCTCTAGACGACCCTAGGCTCTAAAAAGCACTGACCGGGCCGATGTTTGACGCGAAATAACCGGGAAAATCTCGCTGACAGCGTTCACCGATGGCACTGTAGCGAAGGTAGAATCCCGTTCGTCCGAGGTCTGGAAAGAGGGTTTAGATTTCAAGTAATTCTCGGCACGATTGATCATTAATTCGGGTAATGAAAAATATTTACCCTTGGTCGATGACCAAGTGACAGTTGTCTCTAAGAATTTTCCATTATCGATCACAACAGCAGTGTCGATAGAGACGTTCTTTGGTGGTGTCGGATAGTCTGAAAAGGACTGATAGCCGAAAAAAGAATTGGGAGAACAGTGCGGAACTCACAGGCGACGTCGGGAACATTGTCCTTCCGGGGCAGCTTCGAGCACTCGGCTACACAAGCCTCGAACGCTCGATGACTCTCCAAATGAGCGCATTCTGTGACACAATCAGAGCGCTGTTGGAGGGCTGCTACCAATGTTACTGACAATGTCACAACGTATAGTATCCACCGAATCATCACTCTTAGTTGCTCATAGGTGGCACACAGTTTTGGGTTTTATATCCTGAAATCCTAAACGATTTCAAAATCTGTTGGAAGGCGGGGAATCCAGAAAAATAAATGATGCTCATGCATAGAAGAATGGTTAGAGACAAGACAAATCACCTTTCCAGAGTAATTTCTAGAATGTACTTCCCCCCCACCTCTCCAGGGCACGTCATTGGTTGGGGATTCGAGTCCGTACACCCACCCCCTAAAAGGAGACCTGGCACGACCCCTCCCAAAAATTCTGAAACGATAGAGCTGCGCGCGCGATGGAACAGCGTGCGCTGAAACAGAAAAAGGCCGCGAGGAAAGTGTACGACGCCAGCTTCCCCATCCTACTAGCACTTTCTGAGATTTCCCCAACTTCCCAATACTTCCTACCACTTTTCCCAATTCTTCTGGAAGTGGCCGTTTCCTATTTTTTTACCCATAGTTTGCTGTCGAGCAAGGAGGGGGTGGGGCGTAAAGGTATGTGAAACAGAAAATCGCGAAAAAAGTCAACGACCGGGAAACATTTTTCCAACACCGCAATCTCTCAACAATCGTATACCACCCCCCCCCTCCCGGTCCCAATAACGAGCAAACACTTGGAGCGTCCGTGAAAGTAGAAAAAAATCAACTATCAAAAGAAATTTACTCAGACCAAAACACGACCCCCCCCTACTGCCCCCAGCAACCAAGTACGACCACCTCCCTGTTGGGGAATCCCAACGATGATGTGCTCTGCCCCCTCCCCCACCCAACCCGCTAACTGGTAAGAGAGCCACATTATCAGTCATTATATCAGAGAGTAATATTGCGACAACGACGTGCAAAAAGACTAGTATTGACAATGAAACAAGTTCCGTTAGATGAAGTAGGACGATCCTTCCGTCGTCGAGGATTCCTGGACGATAATGTGGTCTGGACGGGAACCATGGCTTTGGGGAATCCCAGCGTCCCAGCGAGGAAGGGGTCGTATTTGGTCGCTGAACAGGGGCAGGGGGTGGTGTCGTGTTTACCTACGACAGAAATTTTCCGCATTGCGAAACAAATTTTTCCGGTTGTTAACTTTTCACGCTTTTCCCATTTCCTGGTGATATTCCTCCACCACAGCAAATTTTTGGGGAAAAAGTAGGGAAATTTTCGGGATTCTCGGAAAAAGTGCGAAAAGTGGTGGGTATTTGGGAAAATCTAAGATAGTAATAGGTAAGATGGGGAACGGGGAGAGCGTAGGAACTCGATCAAAATTCTATCTAATAATATGCCGTGACTGGAAAATCCTTGGGATGTTTCGGGGGGAGGGGCATGGAAAAATTGGAGGATGGAGAAGAGGGAAGAGGGTCGTAACAGATGACAAACTGGCGGGGTATTTTACCAAGGTTTTCCGTCAGTGGCAGGACGTGCCCTGTCGGGAAGTAAGTGTCAGTAACTGCGAATCAGTATGGTTTCAACTAGTACGACTAGAAAATCGCTACAAAGGAACGACGGCAAAAATAAGTGCAAGTGTTGAGGGGTGGAGCTAGGACAGGGGAATTGGGGTGGTTGTGGACCAACCAAAATTAGCTTATTCAGTGAGGAGGTAAGCACTGCCCAGCTGAAGTGAAAGTGGAGTCAAGAAAAGGAAAATAAACTCTCTGCAAGGCTTGTTGGTTCAGGCTCAGTGGGAGATCGTGCTCAGAAATGGATCGATAAAACAGAAAGGTATATAAATATGGAGTTTATGCTTCGTGCTTGATTATAGGTCTGGGAAAATCCCGTTTAAAAAGCGAACTTTACAGAAGCACGTTTTTCAACGATCACAGACAACCAGACAACTACGGGGCCATTTCGATGCAAAATAGATCAAAGTAGATTGGGAAAAGTGCCAAATATCCATGGGTGGAAGGGCAGAAATTGTCAGATGACACCCGATCGGGCAGTTGGCAAAAGTGTTGCAGATTGAAAATCGGATCTGAGCGAGTATCGTGGAGCGGAGATGGGTTTCGATGATGTTACCGACAACACTGCTATGGGCAGCTGACGCGTCGTCAGCAGTTTACACCCCGGGATTCTTCAACGGCGTAAAGAGCACGAGGCATTGGGAGAGTGGAGAAAATCAAAAATGAGGCGCTGATTGGTATATGCATTATGTGCGGGTAGATACCTTCTGGATTATCGAACGGCTCCGAAATTTGAGGGTCCCTCCAAGATGTCCCAAAGAAGCACAATTGATGGTGGGTGGACTGAGCGATCTGTTAGCGACTGTTGTACAGAAGTGATAGAGAAACTAATAAAAATGATAACGCCCCGTGGTAAAAAGTACAATAATGTTACTAGTTTATGACCACTTCTGCGTAGGACCGCGCCCTGCCATCCTCTCTCACTGCCTAGCCCGGGACATCATGTGAATGTGTAAAATGACGGTGCCAGTACTAGGGCACATTGTACGCAGGGTACAGCATCGTTGAACACATTGGGGGGTCATATTTGGAGAGGGGAGGTCGTAGTTGGTCGTTACTGGAAGAGGGGGGGGAGTCGTATGTGCCTTCGAGAGAAATTTGCCACATTGGGGAAAAATTTTCCTGGTTGTCGACTTTTTCGCTCCCGTTTCACTGCTCTCACATACGCCGCTAGTTAAAGGCGCCGTCGAAGTTCTATACAATTACTATTTCCGGTAGTTAAAAATAGTAGCTGGTTCCTGACGACCTCCCCTCCCTTCACCCACCGCTCGACGGTGAATTTTTGGCTAAAAAAAACTGGAAAATGCTAGAAATTTCGGAAGTTTGGAACATTGTAAGAAAGTGGTTAGGTAGAGTGTTGGGGAACGTGGGGGGGGGCTCTGTACAGACACCACTAACCTAGCACACACTCATGGTGTCTGGTACCCTGTATTGTACAATCCCCCGCCCTGGTTCCGCTTCTCCATCGCATATGTAAATATGGTAATGGCGAAGAGGGAATGCGACTCACGCTTGACCATTGCTTTAGATTGTTTCCCGCACTTCTCTCAGATTTTGGGAATTTCTGCGAAATTTCTCCAATTAGGAAAATTACGCTGTTTGTACAGTCCCTGGTTGCTATCGAGCGTTGGGGGGTGAGGAATGTATAGCACACAAGAAATAGAAAAAACCATGAAAAGACCTTTCTCAGAAGATTCAGAAGGTCAGAAGGGAAATACAACCTTCTCCTCCCCCCCCCCTTTACACGTTTCTGAATTGAGAAAAATCAATTACCAAAAAAATTTTCGGCTCGAGTACGACCCTCCTCTCCCAGCGACCTAATACGATCCTCCCTGTTTGTTTTGTTTCTCCCAACAACGATGTACCCTGGCCGGTACTACCTCTATGCCCACAGTAAGAGGAAGGCGAAGTGAAACAGTCGAGAACCTGCAAAAGAGCCTTCGCTCTACGCAACTCAGAAAGCGAATTTCGGACGAGTTTCTCGCTGGCATCGTGCCAATCACAGCTACGCAGATACGGCTAAGGCATGTACCGATATATCCACGCAGCACCGCAGCCGCTTCAGATCAGGCCCTTCGCTTCACATTGTGCTCCATAAATGAAGCGATACGAGCATCAGCACTGGTCGGACATTTGTGGGCGGGCGGGCGCAGTGGGCGTCCGGGTCGGTATGTTGCAGCTTGATAGGGCGCTATATGGGTACCATCCATGGTAAAGGCTCCCGCTAAATTCTGTCCTGCAGGCGTATTTATCCTACACATATTGGGAATTTATAGTCACTTGCCTCTGAGCGTAGTTTTCTCGAACATCTAGCGCTTCTAAAACGAAAAATAAACAACCAAAACAATTTATTTGAAAACAAGTACGTCCTCATTCCCCGATGTCATTCGCACAGCGGCGATCCGTGCTGCTACACAGCACTGCTCCGACATCAGGAATACGATTAGCTAAGTGGATGTCTAAGCAATAGCG